TATGTTAATTTTCACTGTGCGAGCGGCGATTTCTCATAGACAAACGAATCAATTGGGAGATTAAATAAACGCAGAAAAAGTGCAAAGTTTATAAAATCGAAAAGTTGCCAAATATTTTGGATTCAATTTAAAATTTGGTCTATGACTATTTGAAAATTAAATTTAAATTTAAATCATATTTAAAATCTTATATTTTCCACATTTATTAAAATACTTTAATATGAATTAAATATTTAATTTAAATTATAAATGTACAATTCTGAGATATTTATTTTTACTATTCCTTTTTTAATCAGTGTTCGTTGTTTTTTATTTTTCTGTGTGTTTGGCTGATATATAGTATATGTTGCCAGGCAGCGAAACGAAGTCAAACGATTTGGCAAGGTTATTATTTATTGCACAAATATATGTGTTAATAACACACACAAATACGAATCGAGTTTCGAATATCTTGGCCTTTTTTTTCTGTCTCGCTTCTGACAATTGTCAATAAGCCCTAATTGTCGGAGATCGTAGTTCTACCGGGTACAATGTCAAGTGCCGATGGCTCATTAGCGATAAAGTGTGGTCACCGTTTCCGTTTTCGTTGCCCATTCCATTTTCATTTCCGCTTCCGGTTGCGGTTCAAATGAAAAGGGTTTTCCGCTGGAAAAATTGCCAGACATTATGCTAGATAAGCGAGAAAAAAATAACGATGACATCTACAAGTGAAGAAGTGTCAAAGAAATCAGTTAACAAGTTAAGTTGGCTCAGCCCCAAAAATATATTTAAAAAAATTATTTCCATTTGAAGGCTAAGCGCAAGATTGATCGGAATTTAAACACTTTTAACATATTCGGCTTATGTTGCATTTGAAGTGTTTATCACACGGTTTTGGCATGTTTTAAAACGTGATTTTGAGTGACTTGAAGTATTTAAAATATGTCTTTCCAACAGATGGCCATGCATGTTCAAATATAAACAATAACATTTCAAGGTACACATTTTTAGAATATTTTCGGTATCTTGATAAGATATTTTAGTGGAACAAGCAGGAACACTACCAATTAAGTAAATTAATAGAATATTTAAAACCATCTTGATATGATGATTAAAAGTTATTGAGTAGCTTTTTTTAGCTAAACTTAAATCTACATATGTTTGGATTTCCAAAAGGGATGATTTTTTTTTTTTTATAATTTAAGAAGCTCATGTATTCTAGTATGCTTTGCTATTATCTTCATCCTTGAACATCAAAGGTTCAACCTTTTAATGAATCTGACTCATCGCCCCATGAATGCCATGAATACAAGTGACTTACTAAATCAGATCGTAACGTGGCCATTAGATGGCTGAATTAAAAGCAGCCATCTGAGGGCAGTCGAAGCATTAAAGGGCACAACATTTGCACATAGTGGAACAATTATATCATTATGGTCTTGGCTTTGGGCTCGTTTTATGGGGCCTGCGGTTTTATATTTTTTTTCGGGAGTCACTAAGATATGTGTACTTAAACGTTCATGCACAGGGAAAAAAAAGAACAAAGCTTTTTAAAATAATGTTAACTAAATAATAAAAACTTATGTTTCCATTTCTTGTTGTTAGAAAAACTACTTTCCTTCATGAACTGTTTTGATAATTATTTTATTAATTATTAAATTTGATTAAAACATTTTAACATAAAATAAAGTATATAATTTTATTGAATTTAACCACATAATGTTATATCTTTATTTTTATACCCTTGCAGAGGGTATTATAATTTCAGTCAGAAGTTTGCAACGCAGTGAAGGAGACATCTCCGACCCTATAAAGTATATATATTCTTGATCAGCATCACTAGGCGAGTCGATCTAGCCATGTCCGTCTGTCCGTCCGTCTGTCCGTCCGTCTGTCCGTCTGTCCGTCTGTCCGTCTGTCCGTCCGTTTATATGCAAACTAGTCTCTCAGTTTTAAAGCTATCTGCATGAAACTTTCCCAAAAGCTGTCTTTCTATTGCAGGTAGTATATAAGTCGGAACGAGCCGGATCGGACGACTATAGCATATAGCTCCCATAGGAACAATCGGAAAAATAAATGAAAAAAAATTATAACTTTGCTGTTTTTTAATTTTTTGTTTAGTTCTTCGACATTTAGTAATGGTTAAATATTTCCGATTTACGGTTTAAATTTCATCAAAATCGGACGACTATAGCATATAGCTCCCATAGGAACAATCGGAAAAATAAATGAAAAAAAATTATAACTTTGCTGTTTTTTAATTTTTCGTTTAGTTCTTCGACATTTAGTAATGGTTAAATATTTCCGATTTACGGTTTAAATTTCATCAAAATCGGACGACTATAGCATATAGCTCCCATAGGAACAATCGGAAAAATAAATGAAAAAAAATTATAACTTTTCTGTTTTTTAATGTTTTGTTTAGTTCTTCGACATTTAGTAATGGTTAAATATTTTTGATTTACGGTTTAAATTTCATCAAAGTCGGACGACTATATCATATAGCTCCCATAGGAACAATCGGAGAAATAAATGAAAAAAAATTATAACTTTTCTGTTTTTTAATTTTTTGTTTAGTTCTTCGACATATGGCAATGTTTAATTATTTCAGAATTATGGTTTAAATTTTATCAAAATCGGACGTCTATATCATATAGCTCCCATAGAACTAATAAAAATATATAAAATAACTATCTAATAATTGAGCTGCAAATCATCATAGCTTCACTGTTTTTCAGTATATACTCAAGTAAATCGTAATTTAAATGTTTTCAAAAGTATTTAATTCATGCAATAGCTGCAAGGGTATATGAACTTCGGCTTGCCGAAGTTTGCTTTCTTTCTTGTTTGAATTACTATTAATTGCCACATATTTAAAATCAAAATATAATGGTTTTTGAAAATTTTACAAAGTTTTCAAAAGACTTTAACATCTAAAAACTAAAATACCTTTTCAGAAGCTAAGTTTAATTTTAATCTATAAACTTTTAAAGAAGTGTTTTAACTTTTAACTTTTTGATAAAAGAAGTAGAGTTTAATGTGTTTTTCATGAGTTTTTTGTCTTGATAGAATGCGCCCTTTAGTTTCAAGGCAGATTTATTAAGATGCTTGGTTAACAATAATTTGTTTTACCAAACAAATAATTGTTTCAAGTTATAAATTGGGTTGTTTCCCCAGTTAGTTGTGTGTTTTTATTTGTTTGCCTAAGTTAACCCCAAGAAAGGCACGCTTCAACAGTTGGAATTGCGTTGAAATGCTTATGTCATGCCGATCCAATCCCCCTGCTTTAACCCTATATGCCCCTGCCTTAACCCCCCAATCCCCGATCTCTGCGCACTTGAAAGGTTAAACGAGCGTAACGAGCCACCGCCGACGTTTTGCGGCTTGGACTTGTACTACCTACTTCCCACTACACTGAAGAGAATAGCAAAAATAAATATCTGACTATTGAATTCAACATTTTATTTTATTTTGCTTGATTTAGAATTAAAATATTATAATTAGTGTATAACAGTGTAGTGTAACATACAAAATGTTGATTATTTGATTTAATTGCATTTTGTTTAAGTTAAATATGGTTTTAATCAACGTCAAAGTGACATATAAAAGTCAAAAAGACACTGTCTTAAATTAAATGAAAAGTTTAAATGAAATTATCAGATATTAAAAAAAAGTCCCAAAAATAATTAAATTTTAATGAACTGTTTCATGCATCGAATATTTAATTTGAGAATGAAATACTTTACAAAGATTTACAAATGTTTTTCCCAGTGTACCTACTACCCGGCTTTAACCCATGTTTACCATTACGTCGTCGTCGTCCCAGATGCTGATGCCCAATCTCTCCCATTTATCTAATGGCTGATGCTAATTAACAGTCACGCATAAGTGCGACACCTGCATTTCGCTTTTCTACCATTTACATAAGGCCTGTATTTCAATCACCTTTCGGGCCGAAAGGGCTGAAAGGGCTGAAAGGGGTAAATAGTCAGTCAGTCGCCTTAGGTAATTAGCTAATGACTCCGATCTGTGTCTATTATATATTAAGTGCCTAATGTGCGGCTAATTGGGGCTTCTACTCCTGGGCAGGTGAGAACTCTGGCAATTGTGGCCTCTGTAGGCTCTAATGTTCTGGTCAGGCTTTAAATTGGATTTCTGGGCAAGTTCCAAACATAATTGTACCTCATAATAATTTGGCCTAGGGGGAAATTAAAGTCATTTTGATGTTTCTGGCATTTATTTATAGCTTCCTAAATAAAAGCTACTTAAGGCTAAGATTTAACATAAGTAAAACAATATTTTTGTTATATGGTCTTAACTAATAAAAATATATATTTGTATGTTCTTTGAAATTAATATAGTTTTTGGTTATTTTTTTAGTTTAGTTTAGTTTTTTGTGACTCGTAAATTGTTTGCTTAATTATGTTAGTTACATTTATAAAAGAAAGTACATAGTATATAACTTCTTTGCTTAAATCTCTTTAAAGGGCTATATAATTGAGTAATAAAAACTAGTTCCAACTGAAGGAGTAAACTAGTTTATGAATAAGGCACTAACCGCCCCCTAGTTAAGATATTGTTATATTTGCCTACGACAAAAATGCATTGAAGATATGCCACACTGATCAAGCGCCACAGACGATTGACCCATTGCACAATCGACAAAACGAGGGCGGAACTACACTCAAAAAAATGCATGAAATTCAACAACAAACAGCATTTAAACATAAGTATTAATTCGATACTAAATAATAATTTTTAGATTAATTTTTATTACCAAAGAGTGTAAAACTGTAGTCAAAGGTCTTATTTTTAAATGTTTTATCTTGATACTTTCATTATATTAATTTAATACTCATCTTATTGAGACATTTTCCATGCAACAATAGTTACGTTCCTCTGACTGATTTTTTTTTGGATGTAGTGGGAGGATCTCTCTGCCACGCCCACCGCCCACCGCCCAACTAACCGTGAACGAAAGGCTATACAAGCGATGCCAAAATGTTATATGAGCCAGTGGAGCGACGTTCCTGGTCGCAGTTTTCTTTCAATCGGCGGCCAATGGAGAAGCTCGTAATAATCGGATTTCTGATTTGGGGATTGATCCTGATCGTGATTCCCAGATCGGTGGAGAGCAGACCAAGCAGACCAATGGAGTTGCAGTCGCATTATGTACAGGCCATTGCCGCCTATCGTCGGCTAGAACGCATCCTGCCGAAAGAGGAACTGCGGGCAGTCACCAGTTTGGGTTTGCTAAATGGAGCCCGTCAGGCTGAGGAGCAAATGGAGCAGCACCTGGTGAAGGCCATCCGGGACTTGCTGCTGCAAATGAATCTCACCGAGAGTGGCAGTGTCATGATGGGCAAAATCGATGCCATCGAAGAGCAGTTGTTGCGCGATCAGAGGGCCCTGGAAATCCTAACGCGAGTAATGGATGTGGTATCACAGGCCAAGGATGACCATGAATTCCGGGCGGAACTTAGGCAGATGGCTCAGCAGCAGAAGGAGGAGGAGCTGCTCAACCAGCAACTGTCCGCCGATCTCACGGATCAGCCCAAACTGGGCCAGCGATTGGGCCAACTGAGGAGCCACATCATCAGGCAGGTGCCGCAGCTGAAGAACGAGTTGGAGGCCAAAATAGAGCTGGCCCTGCAGCACTTGCTGCAGCATGCTGCCGAGGATGGCCTACTGGGCAGGGCCAAGCAAAAGGTGCTCCACAAAAGGCAGATCAAGAAGGGAGTGGATCAAAGGAAACAGCAGCAGCAGAAGCAGCAGGAGCAGCAGGAACAGGACGAGGCCGAGCAGCGACAAATGCCCGAGGAAATGAGGATTATCAAGTCCATACTGTCAGAGGTATTTCCCTAACCCAATTAAATAAAAAAGAAATTAATTTATAAATAAATTAAATTAGAAAAATAAAATTAAATATAAAGAGAAAAGAATAATTTAAAACTTCATATTCCGACTTTCAAAATTTAATATAAAATCAGGAAAGGAAGCAAAGTTTATATGCCCTAACAGCTTATGCAAAAATTAAATATACTTTAAAACAACAATATTTCAATTTGTGGGCCTTCAAGCAAAAAAAAAAAATTGTTATAGAAACTAAACTATTGTTACATGAATTTTCAACTATTGGGTATGAAAAATGTAAATGCAAAGAGAGGAAGAAATACGACGTATGTTTTTTGTTTAAGCAAATTCGAATACATAATAAGCACACATTTTTAATTTTTACTTGAAAATAATTTCTAATTATTAATATAAATTCAAATGATAATCGATTTTAGATTATAATTATGAAACTTCATTTTGTATTGTCATTTCAAAAGTATATCTGTATTATGTTACACAACCTCTTAGCGAATATGTTAGTTAGTTATGTTAGATATGTTATGTTAGATTTTGAACCTTTAAAAAATGCATGTCTTAAGTGTGAAAAAATTGATATTTTAATGCCAGGCTCATGACTTGCGCTTCCAGGATGACTTTCAGGAAAACATGCTGGAGCAACAGCCGGCGAGGCGCCTCAAAATAGAGCCTTCAACCCCGGATCTCGATGACCTGGAAATAAATGTAAAGGTGAGAACACGGGAAACCCAATGCTAAACACAGTTTGTGACTAACCTGGTGATGATGAGACGACCTAACCGATTGAAGACCCAACCCAACCCAACACTGACTTGGCCCACTTAACCCTTTTCCAATGGCCTCCTCGAAGGCGCCCAATGTTACAGCCAAGGCCAAAGGTAAACCCAAAACGAGTGCCAAGCCGGAGAAACAGGTGGAGGCGCAGGCGGAGGGCACCGGCTCCTCGGAATTGGCCACAGATGACAGCGATGACCTTGGCGACGGGGATCTTGGAGCCGGTGACGATGAGGGCGGAGCAGGTGGCGGCGGAGGAGGTGGTCTGGTGGGCCTCATTGGCAGTCTCAGTGGCGTGAGTAAAAGGATAAATATTAAAATGCAGCATTGATAAAAAAAATGGAACAGTAAAGTAATAATTATAATTTCACACTTCATATTTAAATTGAATATAAATATAGTATTAAACATGATCATTATCAGTCTCAGTGGCGTGAATAAAAGCAAACATTGAAAATATCCAGTAAATGCAATAAATAGTTACATTGTATTCTTAAATGACATAATGACATAAATCATGCATTAAACTACATGATTTGATAAAATGGCTTAAATTTAAAAAAAAATTTAAAGACATTAAAGTAGATTCCAAAAATAGTCAAAAATATTGCAAACAAACAAGTAGTATAATAAATTTATTGCTATTGAATTCAAATGTTTAGTAAATGTGAAATATATCAATGCCAAGTTTTGTTTTATTTGTGCATGAAAAGTGAAGCTGAAATTGACTTTTTTCAGGGCGAAGGAGGCTCCGATGTGGGCGCTCTGATCGGTGCCCTCACTGGCCTGGTTTCCACCTTATTTGGCGTAAGTCTCGATTAAGTTTCCCCAAATAATCTTCCTAATAAATAATAATCCTTTTCAGCCTGGTGGCCTGGACGTTCAAGGCTTGATTCAAACCGGAAGTTCGCTGATTTCCGGCCTTCTCGGTGGCAACAAGAACTTTGGTCTCGTTCTGGGTCAATATGTGGGCACAGCATTGGATGGCTTGTCTGGAGGTGGGGGAGCGGTGAGTTTATTATTTAAGATTATATATTTCATCAAAAAAAACTATTTTATTTTTTTCAAATTTATAGAGCACTACTTGGTTTTTTTTTATGTAAATTAGATATTTATATTTCTTTGTGATGATTATATTTAATTTTATTATTTTTCGCTTACAATTTGCAAAACACAATTTAATTGCTTAAACTTTACTTTAATTGCTGTAACTTGTTTAAAATTAAGCGCAGAGCTGGAACATAAATTGTTGCAAGCTTGAATTCAAATTGATTTGAGGCTTAACGAGGAATGACATTTAATTTTTATGGCCATGTTTCTTATGTATATATATATTTAATTAAAAAATTGTGCCTTTTTGTGAAAACTAGGATTTTAGGCAAAAAAAAAAAAAACAACAAACTTTTGAGCAAATTTTTAGCAGCAATTTGGTAAGAAGCAAAAGGAATATTTTGTGAAGACTTTTAACATTTCGCAATACTTACCGAAAATATTTTGTTTATTATCTTAATATTTTATTTATTTGACATCCTGGCATATTTATTTTTAATTTTTTAATTATTTTAGAATATTTGGAATAAAAGAGAACCAAATTGGAAACAAATTTTAATTGACAATTTTTTGACCCACATAATAATCTATTGAAAACTTAGTTTTGTTGTCAATAAATAAAATAATTTACTCGATATTTAATGTTCCTTTTCCTGCTTTATTTTCTTCTTTTTTTTAATTCTTTTGCAGATCAACAATGGCCAGTTTGTGGGCAACTTCTTGGGCACTGTGTTGGCCGCACTCAGCGCAGTATTTATGCTTTGTTCTTGAAACCTTTTTGGCTCCCAACCTGTTAACTGTGTTACTAACCCTTGAAAGATTGTACATTTTGAGATAGTAAAACAAACAACTTCTTTTTATATTTAAATAGGATCCCGAGGAGGAGGGTCCGCCGCAACCTTTGACCTTTACCAAGAACCTGATCACCAGCTTTCTGGAGGCCAAATTTCGGCCAAATTCGGAGGAGGGTTCGGAGGAACGTCATGGCAGTGCCGAGCTGCCACGCCCCCGCAAGAAGAAGGAAGGGGGCGGCGGTTGGGCGGCTGCGGCGGCCAGTAACTTTGATTCCGGTGGCTTTGTGAAGCATTTGGCCTCGCATTTGGTGAGCAATGCCCTGGGATTGGTCCTGAACGCCGGACTGGGGGCAGCCGGAGGAGCCTCGAGTGCAGCCAAGAACATCTTCGCCAGCAGCAGCATGGGCCATCATGCCAAACCGGCGGAGCACCATCATCGATCTGGGCACGCCTACTACGACAATGAGCCATTCTAGCCAGCTAAAGTTGAAGTCATCACATAATAGTAATAGTTACGTTAATTGTTTGTGTTTTCTTTTTTTTTTTGCTAGTCTGTAAACGAAATTAAAAAAAAAACAAAGCGAAAGACTTGTTGTGTTGGTCACTTGGGCAGCTAAGAAAGCGTAAAACAGAGGGGCTCTCTAAATCAAATGGCGTAACCACTCGGACATCTGATGCAAGAGATCCACTGGAATGGGAATTGGAGCTGGACTGGAGTGGTGAAGAGAAAACCACTCCCCCAAGGATTCGGTGGGGCAAATCACTGGGTCGAAAGAAAGAAAGCGAAAGCGCTGAACAAAAAAAGCGGAAGTTAAAACCAAGTGAACTCAGGGGGCACAGCTTCAGAGTTCATTGCCTAAAACAAAAGTTCACAGGGGGCAGCATAGAGGAATGAACTTTGGAGTGCGGCTTATGGGCTTGTGGTGGCAAATATAGTTGACAATTGACTGCTCACAATTTACAAAGAATTCTTAATTTAAAAATTGTTTGTTTAATAAGACTATACCCTTTATTATACCCATTAGTTGCCTTTGACTTTTAGGGATACTATAGTTGACAATTAATTGCTTATAACTTACATTAAATTCTTTATTTTTAAATTATCTTTTTTATAAGACTTCTGATTTTTAAGGATTTAGCTGAGAATATAGTTGACAATTGATTCTATATAATAAACAATGGATTGTTAATTTTAATATTCTTTATTAAATAAGACTCATTAGTTGCCTTTGATTTTCAAGCATTTTGCTGAGAATAAAGTTTACAAATGGCTGCTCATAATATACAACATTATACCCGCTAGTTACTTCTGACGTATGACTTATCAAAATGATAGATTGAAATACTAAAGATACATATTTCGAAAACTGTGCTAAGAAGAATTTCTTTTAATTTTTCCTGACCGTTTATAAAGTTTTTCAAATTTCTACGTTTTAATGTAAAATATATATATAAATTCTTTGGAAAAAGGGGATATAAAACTTGAGATATATAGTTTTGTAGATCACTTCATACTTGGTTTTGGCCGAACCTATTTTTTTGTGATTTTCCTGGCTCTCTTTTGAGTCACTCTCTTGCTTTTTGTGCGCTTTCCCCGCACCTTTCTCCGTGGGCCAACTACTTGACTACTTGGCCAGTGGAGCGGGCATTGTGTCACTTTCTACTGATTACAGGTTTCCATTGAAATGCTTTTACTTACTTTCTTTGCCTCTCTCGCTCTCTCGCTTCCGCCTGCTCTCTTCCTCTCTCTCTCCCTTTTTTATTTATTTTTTAATTTTTTTTTTGAAGTGGGCTGCTTTTGCAGCGGCGATTTTCAGTTTTCAGTTATGCGTGAATCTTTCACAAGACCAAGTGACATTTTGCGGGCCGTTTAGTTGTCGCGTTTTTAATTTGAAAAACCTCCGTTTGTGTTTATTGCTTTGTTTTTTTTTGTTGGTTTGTTTTTTTTACGCTGTTTGTGCTGGTTTATTTGCATTTTGAAATTGTTAATGAACTCAATTATATATTTTGGTGCTTCGGCGAGTTCGCATTGCAATTAAGTTTGGCAAGACGCATCTTTATTTTACACTTTTTCGGGTGAGTTAACGTATAATGGCAAAACAAAAACAAAAAAAAGGAAAGAAGCAGGAAAGCGAAAATCGCAGCTCAAAATGTGTGTCAAAACGAAAGACTTAGGCAACGAACTTGCTAACTGGGCTAAGCCTCAACTCGAAATGCTGGCCATAGGTCAGGTCTGTTCCAAAAGCAAACAGCACCCAAGGGGGCGGGGCAACGGAAAAAGGGGTCGAAAGGGGGGTGGGGGCGCCTTTGATTAGCGCCCGTCCATTAATCGCTTTGGCTACCGAAATTTGGCAACAGCGCCGACGTCAACAATGCAAAAGTGACGACTCAAATGCGTTAATTGCTTCATAAATCAATTAACAAAAGCCAAAGACTTAACGAATACTGTATGTAAGCCGACAAAAAAGGGAGAGTTTTATTGTTCTCTTACGACGGAAACTTTTGTTTTCAATGTATCATATGTGTATATATTTTTTTTTCAGTTTTTTTAGCTAAAGCAAATTTAAGTTTATTCAAAAACTTATTGATTGATATGCTATTTTATACAAATTTGTATTTATTTATGAATTTATTTAATTTTTGAAGACTTGTGAACTTAAGATATTCGATTTTACAAGTAAATGAGGAAATAAACTTCATGAAAAATTATTTACAAAATTAAATAAACAATTTGGGAAGCTATTAAATATTAAGGAATATTTCTTTTATAAAGAATTTGTTATATTTTATTTTATTTTATTTTATGTCTGGTATTTAAGTAAGTCCTTATTATTATTATAAGTTATGTAGCATTTTATTTTTAATGTTACCAAGAGGGCATTTTTGCTAAGCATCTTAATAGTATTTAAAAAAGTCTTTATAATTACATTTGTTTTGAGTTAAATGCTATTTAAAACATTTTGATAGAGTTTATATTTAAAGTTGACAATGGGGAATGTTCTCAAAACACCTCAAGTGGCGGCCGCAAGATTTTTTGAACCTATGAATTTTCGGGGTTAACTACCTGCCAACCTATTGGTCATTTGCGACCTGACCCCTGTCTGGCGCCATGATTGAGGATGAATTATAATCAGAGCTAACTGGTCTGTGGACCATGCAAGAGTGGCCTGGCCTGGCCCAAACCAAAACCAAAAGCAAAACCAAAAACCGGTAACGGTATCAAGGTCGTTCGAGTCGATGGCTCTGGCCAGATAAGCCTCAGCCCCAAGACACAGCAGCCATCAACGCGCTCTGGGCCAAAAGCTAAATGCCATCAGCTATAAGCAATAAGCAATAACAAAAGCCAACGATGATGGCTGGGCCAAAAAAAAAAAATGAAATAAAAAATCGAAAACGAGGGAAAAAGCGAAAGTAAACGCCATGAAAGTGGAGCAGTCGCGCTGGAAATCTGCCGAAGGCAAACCGGCGAGGGGGCGTCTCTACACTGATAAAAAAATGGTAAAGTAAAAATAAATATCTTACTATTGAAATCAAAATGTTATAATTAATACATAAATTAAATATTAAATAATATTATTGAATGTAACAATTAATATAAAAATGTTTTCATTATTGTGCAAATTATTTGATTTAATATGATAACGATATCATAAAATAATTAATTATTATTTTAAATAATTTAAACAATATTAAATCAAATCGCAAAGTATTTAAATTGAGCACAAAATATTTAAATTTTCTAAATTTTTTTATAGCAGTGTGTATAAATAGAGAGATATATGTGCAGGTGTCAAATCTAAGTCGGTCAATAAGTTTATTGACCAGACGACGCTCCAAATTTCTGGGTTTGTTTTGCGGGAGAGTTATGCAAATCGATTGGGGCAACCCGATATCGAATAAGTAAGCGTGGAAACTTATCAAATTAGTCGTAAAACAATGCCCCCCTTTTTGGTCCGCTTATTATGTAAATCGTGAAATTTCCTTGTACCCCTATGTAGATTTTATGTTTCAATTATGAGCATTAAAGTCCGTAGCGCACATCTTGAAGTATACGAATTTTCACACATTTTTTACGATAGTATTTCCCTGGGCAGTTAATAAATTGGTATATGAATGGCTGCTTTTTGTTAATGTGTTGATATGCTGTTTTTCTCTATTAAAAATAGTGTTTTTTAATACTCTTGAATTATTTGATTGGCAGTTTCATAAGCCTTTTGCGTTTACGTTCAGCTTAGAAGTGATTTCCAATTTACGGCTCATTTAACAGCGCCAAGTTCTGCACGGCAATTAAGCAAAGTGATCAGATTCAAAATGCCTTTCAAAAAAAAATCTATGTCTAAGTCTAAAGCCAAAATGATATTATTATGGGATGACCTTCGTCGGTCGCCAGTGGCGAGATTTATTAATACTATAATTACTGTAATGGCTGAACAAACAAATAAACGCCACCTGACTTTAGAATCAGAATCAGAATCTCCAGCAACCTTTGTGCCAAAACGAATCATTTAAGCCTGGCCAAGAACAAAGTTCGCTCAACAAATTCTGATTTCTGAGTTCGAGTTTGAGTCTAAGTCGAAAACTGAGTCGGTGAATGGTCAAATTGGCAACGCCTTTTCCAATTAAATTCGACCCGGCTATTGGGCACAAAACAAAAGCTCTTGATGTGAAGGATTGGCTTAAACGTGGTCTTAATATGAACTAAATTAACGTTTTTCGTTTTCGTTTTCGATTAAGAGCATTGCATTTGCGGCCCAATTAGGCCGACTGATCTCGGCAGGCAATTCTTTGTGGGGTTTCCTTTGCACATTGCCACTTTTGGAGATTGTTTTTGCTCGAAATTTCAACAAATTGGCATTAATATTCGAAAAAGTTAAGCCATAAATTGTTAAGAATACAACTGAAGTTACATCATCTAAAATAATTATTTTTCAGCACTTTTTCTGAGCAATTTTTGGCAGCTTTACTTTTTTTTAAATAACTTTTCTGCCCCCAATAACAATTTTATTATGTTTTTATAATTTTTAATATTTAAATTTTTAATTAAATTATTTAATTTTTAATATTTTGTTTTATAATTTTTTGTAGTTCTTATGCAACAATTAACAATTTGCTAGATTAACGGGGTTTTAAAGGAATTTCATTTTATATTTAAAATGGTTATTTAAGTGTTTTTTCCCTTAGCTATAAAACTCATGTTTCCGGATTTGTTAACCTTTTTCTGTGAAATTTTCGGCAGCTATGCATTAGTTAAAATAAAAAAATATTATAAAACTTAAATAAATTGTCATTGGACAATATTCCTGGACTCCAAGTTTTAAGTTTTATAATATTTTTTGTTTTAAATAATGCATAAAAAACTATTTTTAACATATTTTTAAAGGAAATTCATTTCTTAATTTAAATTGTTATTGATTGTTATTGTTATTTGTTATTATTTATCCTACTATATAGTTCATTTAACTGGCTTTCTTAACCCTTCTCTTGACTCTTTTCGGCTTTCAACTCTATTCCTAGAGTCCAATGACAATTCCTTTGGTTAAATGTCAAATAGACTTGGCCATTGGCCGCAAAAGACTTGCGCAAAGCCATCAGCAGTTCATTAGAGGCCCATTGCAGGCGGAGTTACATACATATATTATATGGAAATGGATGCGGAATAGAGTGGTGCATCTGCACTGTTGGCCACCTGGTTAACGAGCCGCGCTCTGGGCCCAAATGAAAGCCGGGCGGCATGTAAACGGTTAATGGTTATGGCCGGCCGTCCGCCTGTAACTTCCAACTTTTCGATCGTAAAGATAGTGGGGGCCCCCCTAAAACCTCTTACTCGTTGGCTGCATATATTTTTCGGAATTTTTTTTTTGGTTTTCCTGCGTGCACTTAGCGAAGTCATCGTGGCCAGAACAACGATGAGCAGCAGGTGACATTAATGCCGCGGCCCGAAAAAAAAACATAAAATCGCATAATGCATAATGACAAGCGTTGCATAACGATTGGGCAATGGCAAATTATGCCCCAACATGACGGCGAAGGGTATGTATATTTAAAGCGACTTTTTGACTATTTCCAGAGAACAAGTTGCTACTGGTTAGTACTGTTTTAATGCGTCTGTCTGCCCCACTATTTTGCCATTTTGCCCCCTGACATTTTTTTAACCACCGATGAAAACTGTAACCAAAGACGAAACTGGAAATGCAATGAAGATCTGGGTTCAGGGGGCAAGGATTTGGGGCGCTTCTGGGGT